ATGAACAATATATGACTGTTAAAGTAAAAAATAGAACTGTCTGTAATAACATATGTATCTGAAAAAAATAAGGTAAAGTTATTAATAAATTAAAGTGCTAAGCCAGTACTTCCGGTCCTGTTCCTAGAGAATTTCAGCTGGCAAAGGCTCTGGAAGCGTGGGTGCTCTGGAACACAGGACCTTGATTTGAAATCCTGACTTACTGGGCACACATTGTAAATTGCTAGTGAGCTCACTTATAACAACAACAACAATAAAATCCCAAATGATTCAAACAAAAAGGACTCTCCCTTTTACTTCTGGCATGATTCTCAAAAAACGAGAAGAAAAAAAAAAAGAAAAAAAAATAATTTAAAGGCCATTTAATTCTATTCTAAATCATAATGCAGAAGCCTGTGAGAGTACAATTTCCTTATATTTTGGGTGTATGATGTTATTTTCTATATTTTTAAAAAATAGTCCAAAGAGTTCTCTTTTTTTTTTTTTTTTTTTTTTTCCTTCCCCTAAAGAAGAAACTAATTCTCCAGCTCAGAGAGATCAGCTCTTTACAGCTGAGGAAGTATATGGCAAGATCCAAAACAAGCAATTCAGATTTTGGAAGCATTTTATGAACTATGTTCTGAACCACTTATGTAGTCTAGCTGAATTTTTTATGCTGTGCTTTTTAAATAAACAAATTGAGAGCAGCAGAATTCATGTATGTTTAACATTTACGAGAATAAAATAATAAAATAAAAAAAATGACATATTAATATAAATGCTCACTATTTAACACAGAGTCCTGAAGTAAGAATTCCAGACAGATGAAGCTTTATTCACAGGACTAATAAATTGTGTTGTATTATAATTTAGCATTCACAAGAAAAGTAAAGTCCATTTGTTTTCCATTTTGTTTTTAACTTAGTGAATGACAATGTGACATTATACTGGTTATGAGGAAAGCCTATTTGACAGATGGTTTCTTCCTTCCACTAAATGAATAATAATAAAATAAAATAATCCCTGAAAACACTTCTTTGATTTAAGTGAGAACACAAAAAAGAAGAATGAACTACAGCTTATTCACATACTAACTTCAAGCATCTAGTAATTTTAACTGCATTGAGTAGCTCACTGATTACATTTGGAATGCCCTGAAAGGAAATAAGTGGAATGATCTCATTATTGTAAGAAATATTTGGCATTTCTTGACTTAGTAAGTCAGGAAGCATACAAAATATAATTTAAAAATAGTATTAATACTTATTTCCAGGGCAATCACTAACACATTTTCTGCAATATATTATTACCATAATCATTTTATTAGACTAAAAAAATATTATTGGATCTATGCATGTAGCACTGGACCCAGTTTCATTTTAGCATCCATCTTCTAATGAAAAGTCCCTGAGATAAAGACTTGTGAAGAGACAACAGAATAAATATATACTTAGTACACTGAGTTTTTTATTGACATGTTTTGTACCTTTGATCATCTGTGTTTAGAATCTGTTTAGAATCAAAGAATAAATTAAAACATTGGCACAGAATGCTTCCAGCAGACTAATTTTTCTCTGACCTCCTATGAAATATGTATGATGAATCAGAATAAGAATTAAAACACATCCATTGTTGATGAGATCATATTTAATAATACTTCTCCTTACTAGTTAAGTACCTTATTTGTAATAAAATGAATAACAGTAAGACTTCTGTTAAAGTTTGAGAACTTTGAAAAGAAATTATGCAAACTTGGATTATTTTTACATATATATATATACACACATACATATGCATGTCGAGATACAGTTTATTTAAGTTTAAACAGAAGATATCCTAACTAAGCAGAGATGTCTAAATACTATTTGAAATCCATAATGACCTTAATTACAATTTCCTCTCTGGTATATTAAAAAAAGCATCAATAAAAAAAAAAAAAATTATTCTGTCTGGAAACCCCTATAGTACCAGCCCCTAAGAATCATTCTTGGGTGTTGACTCCAAATAAACCGCAACACAGTATGCAGTATGTTGCATTATCACCTATACCATGTTTCTTTTTCTCTTCTGTCTGTCATAACAATCTGATCCATATGTCTCCTGATAAGTAATATTATTTAGGTTTCATTACAGATGCAAAACTAGACGCAAATCACAACACAGACATTTTCCAGTAATAGTAAATCATTATTTTATCAGCCCCCACCCAGGTCAATACTTCTGTTTGGACTACACACATGTATATTTATTCTTTAATGTGAACAAACTCCAGATAACAAGTAACTCCAAACTCAGATGGCCCGTCTCAATAAACAGAATTGTCGTAAAGATTTGCTGAGTTAGGCATTGACAGACTCTAACTGGAGACAGACCACTTAGATGCTATCTGTTGGTTTTCATAAATGCTCAGGACATTTATGGACAGGAAGCTCAGACAGATGTAAACCAGCATGGTCACAAATATTATCACCATATGAAAGCGAGCTCAAAATGTATATGTGTTCAAAACCACAGAAAGATATTTTAATTGAAGTAGTGGCTCTTTATGCTATCATTTCATTATAGTCACATTTGGGTTGGCGACATCAGTTGTTTACCTGTGAACACTCTGCTTGAAAGGACATACAAATGCAAAACTCATAAAAACTGACATGTGATGTTTTCCCCCACTTGCACTGCTTAAAAGAAGATTGACTTATCTTTCAACATTCCATTCAACTACAGCATATAGCATTAATAAGCCAGTCTGACTCATGTATATGACAGTTATCCTCCAGCAGTATCTTCTGCTCTCTGCTTGAAACTATACAACTGGTAAAAAATTCTGTATATCCAATTCTTTTTTAAATTTTAAGCCTATATTAAAAATAATGATCTCTGAAGAATGCCATTATATGTCATTTATGACTGACAAGGTTAATAGTTTGAGGTCCTTCTTGTTTAATATTGATCCTCAGGAAAAGTATTGTATCTTTGTATTGAATGGTACAGTCAGCAGTACTTAAGTTTTGTTCTATATTTTAATTGCAGAGCATTTGTTCCAAGAACAAACTTATTTCTGAAACAATGAACACATGTGCTACATGACCCTGAGTAAACACAAATAAATGATAAATTTAAAAAAAAATAAAATTTTGTGTTGTCCTAATATAGCTGAGGTCCTTGAAAGTTATTTCTCCTTCTGTGTCTTAGTACAGGTAAAAATTCATTAAAGTCTCCTCCCTGTTTCTCTCTGGTGGAATGAGATGCAAAATTCCTTGACATGATCTCAGAGGAAACCTTTTCTGACAATGTAATACACTATATATCGTGCTACATAGGTAAAACCAAAAACCATACAACCGATACACTTTTTAGTCACACATTTCTGAAACAAGGCCTCTCAGATGTATGGTATAGTGCAACTGTATGCAGATGGTACATTCCTAGTTTTCCTTTGCATATTCATATCAAAATCTTTCACCAACTGTGAACCCATTTACATTTATAAGACTGTCATTCTCATGGCAAAGTCAGCTAGAAAATCTTAGGAAGGAAGATACATGAGTGTGGCCTAAACCCCACAAATTATTTCCAAAAACGCATTTTCCCTGGACAAACTAAAGAGCAAACAAGACCACAATGGAAAATTAATGTTACAGATTTTTACAATAATGGTAGGAAAGTACACCTTTAAATGAATATATAGATAATTTAAATATATCTGAATAAAGTCACTGAGTCATCTTCTGACAGACTAATTCTGTCAGGGTAAAAAGAAACTAACTAATAAGGGCATTTAATTTTGCATGTAAAGAAAAAGAAAGATACTTCTCTGTTCTTGTTGTTTCTTTAACATTCTCTCTATGGCTTGATTTTGTGGCATCCAGTGCTACCTTGTAATGTTCTTGGTGCATTTGACTGCCATACTTTTGGGCAGAATGATAAATAAATATTAACCCAGTAGGAACTGAGGAGACATTTCTGGTTAGAAGATTATACTGGTAACTGATTATGTTGAAAATGACTCATATTAACAGTGTAAAAGAAATATATACATAATGCTATCTAGCTCCTCATCCTTGATACAGATGTATTTTACTTTCTGAAATAAATAAAACCAAAATAATCGAAACCAAGAATTAATAATTATAACAATCTATATAAGAAACTCAAGGTTCAAGGCAGCAACTTGTCCTCATGTCTCCAGAATATCCTGGATATCGGGAGAAATTGTTAGCACTGGTAGTTTGCTTCTGGACCAGTTTGAAGAGAAATTAAAATAAGACTAAAAATTCTCAGTGCTTCAACTCAGTTACCATTAATATACAAATCAAACAAAATCTCTAGGCAGTTACTACTTTCCTTATACAGATGAAGCAGAGATTAAATAGGTCCATCTTACAGAATCAATTCATTTTTTGAAACTGGGAATCAAATTTAGTTATTGTGAACATTTAGGCCTAAGTAAATATTTCTATATTATACATAGAAAGTTCTTACATGCTCTAGTGATCTATTACAAAAAGCTGTAAGATGTTACAACACTTACGTGAATTAATCATGTATTTTCAATAGCATGCTCAGTAAAAAAATTGACTATTTGGCTTTTAAGACACTGTGTATCAGAAATGCAAGATTTCTCTTGGCCTATGTCAAACTAACACTGCAGCAGGATACTTCTCAGCACAAAGAATATTTCTTGAATTTTACTCAGATCATATATCCAGTTTTGAGAGAGACTGTTTTTTTATTCTGCAGTATTATACAACACTTCTTTTTGCCTGGCATCTGACAGGCATTCCCATCCTTTGCATTTACTTTACTTCACTTCCTCAAAGCTGAGTCTGCAAAAACACAGCCAGCAGCCTCACAGAGGTTTTCATGGAAAACTGCCATTCTAACCTGGCACCTAACTTCACTTTATTATTCATGCAGAGAAGTTTAAAACTCTGAGATAAATTTAAATATTTATGCCAACAAAAAAACTGATGAAAAGTATCACCACAAAAAAAGAAAATGAAAACAATGTAAGCCATTACTGAAGTAGCTCTTCTTGTGAAAGCTCTGATGTTCTTTGTTTGCCAGTCACCAGTGCCAGCTCATCCTTCAACTCCTGGATCTCCTTTTTCAGCTGCATAATCATCTACAAACAGCAAGGCATAAACCAAGCATCACCTACAAATTAATAGCTAGTTTATGATTTTTGCATTAGAAAGCTGAGTTTAGGGAAATATTATACTTTGGTTTTCTCTTTTTTTTTCAACAGCATCTCTTTTTTAAAACAGTCCAAATGCCTTAAATACACCAAGCATTTTTTTTTTCCTTTTCCATTTATAAAAACGAGAAAAGTCTTCCAAACTCAGTAAATTCTATGTGTTAGAAGACATTGCTGTACAGAAAGATTTCAAAAGATTATTTGTAAAAGATAAAAATAATTTGCCATAGGAATAGAAAGAGTTTTTTAAATAATTAGTTTTGCCTGTTAGTAATGAAAACGCATTTAAAATGGAACTGATAACTTTGTTGGCAGAAGGACAACTACACTCCAAGGTGAATTTTTTTTTTAACCTTCCCTTTAGAAACAGAAATTCCAGAACAGTATCTTAGTATTTTAATCTTAACTTTTCTTCTTCTTCATGTAACATTCCACTCTTATTAGAATTATAGCATAGTATAATTGTAGGTTGTATCAGTTGCTAACAACAAATGAATAGTATAAATCAACATAATGAAATTAAATTGCATTAATGAATAATAATGATTGAGAAAGTGACATGGAGAACTGTACTAGATTTAAAAATTCTAACAGCTCATTATTGGAGCCCATACTTTTGGAAAAGATGTCTGTATAAACGCCATATTTTAGAAATCAGTAGCCTCCCAAGGCCAAATTCTACAAAACAGGAACAATATGCAAATCTGTAAGTCTAAAACATGAATGAGCAAGTTCTTGGATACTTTACGATTGATCATTTTAATGATGTATCAGCTCATAATGGCTCAAATGTATCAGGAGTCCAATGATATTTTTAGATGGATGAGTACACTGATTCCATGAGCAAAATATGTTTCCAAGAGAAGAATGTTTTCAAGGAAAAAATAATCATTCTTGATTACATGTACTTTCTAGAAATAAGATTGTTGAAACTAATGACACATTTTCACTGGATGTCAAAATTCCTTCAAACATTTATATTTCTTTTAATTTTTAAATTTAACTATGACTTCCTAAACTTTGAATAAGTATTTTTACTTTTTATTTTTTAATCAAAATATTTGAAACATACATATGGTTATTTCTGTTAAGTCTGGACTTACTGGCAACACATTTGTTACTACAAAGTATGAAAGGATAACTTACAATATTTTATTTAAGAATCTATTAAGGTGGTGAACTGTTAAGTACAGATGTTGCAAGAGTGCTTCAAGGATATTGTAGGCCAAATGTTTAAACCTGATTCTAGGTTGCCTCACTCTGGTGTCATACTCTGACGTAGTCTGTGCCAATTACTGAGTCAATAAAATAAAATTTGGGGCTGGAGTATGAAAGGCAGAAAGCTGAACTGATAGTATCATCCCTGTTCAATGTTCAAATCTTGGCATGATTTACCTCAGTCTGACAACAACAGAAATACCATTTTCAGGATATATGGGTAAATGATTGATTTTCAAGTATTATTAAGCCAAACAAAAATCTCCAGAAGCATAATATTTTCATTTCTATTTTTAAATGAATACCAGAGGAGATTAGATTTATTTCAGGCTCAACAGTTCGGTTTTCAGTTTAAACCAAATCCTTTGGTCATGAGTGAGAGAGGTTCAAAGTGGAGGTGCTTAAAAAGTACAATGGGTACAAGTTCACCTTAGTAAGATAGAGCCTGAAAGTCTCCATTATGAAGAACAGAGGTTACACAACAGTCAGATTCAACTCAGATCTATCAAGAGGTATTATGCACTGCCATTATAAAGCATGTATTCGACTTACAGATGATAAATACTGAAAATAAATGGCAATTGATTTTATGAAAAAAATAGTTCAGCACTTTACTGAATAATCAGGTTGCACCTTGGGGATATACTTTAGGTAGTTAAAATGGGCAACAAATTCCACAATGAGCACAGAGCCAGATAGTCTAGGTACCTGTGTTCACCTGCCTCTTCCACAAGAGGGGATGGTTTTCTAACTCTCATGAGTCCACTTTTGCTTTACTTGCTAAATGATCCTGCAGAGCGAGACCATACCAAACTCAGAGAGTATAGCTCCACAGGATGTAGTAAATGTTCAGGAGCCTGCATCTGTTCCACCTCAATCAAAGGCTCCTGTGGCCATGGAAGAAATGTTTTGCATTATTTTCTACTATAAAGCCTACATAGGAAAGAAAAAAAAAAAAAGGACAGACAGAAATGAAGAAGTTGTTCGGTGCCTACTGGGTTTATTTTTTGGCCACTTTTTTTTTTTTTTTTTTTTTTCCTTTTTTTTATTCTGTGATGCTGTTAATGTTAGAAATTGGAAAGAAAAATAAATAAATAAATAAATAAACACAGCAGAAAATCTGACAAGAATTTCTTATTCTCTTTGAACTTTAAGGACAAGAGAAAATAAAAGCATAATGACTAATAGTAACCAAAATATGCTAATTAGCATCAAGTAACAATGAATGAGATAATCAGCCATCTAATCCCCCAATTTTTAGACAACAAATGCTTGTTATGTTATATAATCTAGCTTTCTGCAGTCTAGTATTCAAGGGGAAAGCCTTTCCTAGCCAGTTCAGAAGTTCATATGAGAACAAAATACATCAAAGTTGTAGTTACAACTCAGTCATGAGAAATTTAGAAATACAGTAATAATTTTTCCCATTAAAAAGAATGATGATGTGATTAGTATATCATAAAACATACAAGACCACTGAAATGAGCATATTTGATTCAGATTTTATGTTTTCTATAAGTGAAAAGATAAGTTTAAATTTATAATTATGTTGTAAAAAAATATGCTTTAAATATTTGCTGTTTATATGTAAATATAATATAATAGCATAGCCTTAACTTATTTTTTATCTGATATCTTTGTCACAGAGACAGAGGGTGTGCTGAAATGCATTCACAGTTCTTTCTTCATTATATCGATATATTCAACTATGGTATGATCAGTGTAACCTCAGTCAAACATTTCTTGTACCAGAAAACATCTTTGATATATAGCATGCAGCCCAGCTGATCCAGTAGCTATCATTATCTGCAATACTATGTTGAATTAATCAAATCTCAATACGTGTTCTTAATATTTACAAAGGAAAAGCATTTTCCATGTAACACAGAAAATTACATTAAGTAAACTAAGAAAGGCCTCTTAATATAGCAGAATTTATTGTTATAGAGGACATCCTCAATCAAATTTGGTTTGTAACAAGCTAGAGGCATATAAAATCTTTCAAAGTGAAGACTAATTAATTACTAGAAAGAATAAATAAAGTACATTTTTGTTATGCACATTAAAAGGAGAAACTTGTTTTCTTTATGCGGCAATGCTTTGTGCTCACCAATGTGGATTATTACCTCTATCCTTCTCTGCACTTCCTAAATCCCCAATCCATTCTGCAGAGCTCTCTGCTGCTCTTTGAGATATGAACATCAGTTTAATGCTTTAGTGTGGAAATTCAATTTATACATCTCATTTACTTGTCTTCCTTTTTTTCCTAATGATAACTTTACAGAGTTCTTTTTTCCTAGCTAAAATGCTCCTCTGACCAGTCTCAAGGAAGGACTGTATCTGTGTGTTTCTTCACTTTTTAATACACAAATTGTTTCAGTGTTGCAGTGTGCCTTCATCAAGTGATTAGTAACCTTAGTAGATTTTTAAAGAGACATCCAAGTATCTGTGACTATGATTTAGAAACTAACACCCTAAAGGCAGAAACACAAAGACAATTCTGAAAGTGACCATTGCTCCTCAGATGCCGTAAGAGCTGAGAGAACCTTTAGAGGTTTCATAAGGGTTCATTTAAGTAGAATTATGTCCAAAACAGTAGTCTAAAATAGTACTTATTTTCTAAAAAAAAAAAATGGAACTTGCATCTAAAAACAATTTAATGGGATGATTCAGTATAAAATCTTCAACATCCATTTGACTGCTACTGGTTATTAAAATTTAACACAAGCAATCTCCTTCCCTCTGCCCCCACACAACTCTCACCAATCTGGGGTCAATTTCTTCATTAAGAACTGCTTCATTCTTAATAAGAGCAACTCGCTGTGCAAATCTGCACGTTGATATAGATTCCTGGAAGAAAAAATATAAACAAAAAGAGAAAAATTAAAAATTTCAGTTAGCTTTGCACCAGGTTAGAACAGAATGCTAATTAAGTCATGAAACTAAGATTCTATATTTTACAGAAATAATCTATCATTTCATATTCCAAAACAACAATATTCCAAGGAAATTAGGTTAGCATATTAATGACAGTGACACATAAAACTGTCAAATCATAGTACATATTTTATTGACCCAGTCAATCTCCTGATCAACTGTGTTTCAAATGAGTCCCCAGCTGGCACTAAAGGATAAGAAAGCCATACTACCCAGAAGGTAAAAACTTTTGAATTATGAGAAAATTAACTAAATCAATTTTTTTTTTTTTTTTTTTGTGAAAATGGGACTAGAGAAGTGTATAAAGGGCTGGGAAAAGAGAGGAAGGGAAGAAGAGTGTAAGTCCAGGACAAACGAGAAACAAGCTGGGAGACTTTGAACTAGGAGGCATACAGAAGAACTATGATGCCAGATAAAAAACCTGTCAGATGAGCTAAGATGGGGTGCAGGAGGAAAAGAAGGCAGAAAAAAGAAACGATGATATAAGACTGAGTTTGTGGAGGAAACTATGTGGCAACTAGTGCATGCTCCCATCTAGAGCATAGAATGAAATCGAGGATCCCAAAGTATTGTTCCCTTCTTTGAGACCAGCTGATACCTGCCAGACCCTGCTAGACAACCTAGCTATCTAATGCATAAAACCTGGGAATTGTTCTCTGTTAGATCGAAGAGTAAAACATCACGCAGTAGTCTTAGAAGTTCCAATGTGTTTGATAATCTGTATCAGAAAATTTTCTGAAATGTGCCAATCTGCAATTAAAAATGTAAGAATTTACACATAACCCCTACATTAAGAGAACTTTACTACTGTACAGACTTATATTTCAGAATCAAAGTAATTCTGCAGTTTTCAGTTCTTCAACATATGAAAATACCAATTTAAATATGTAATCGTATACTCCTTTTTCACAGGACTTCTGTCTCTTTCAGTGCTTGGAGGGGTGGTATCTGAACTAAGGTTACATGATAAAAGATCCTACTGTTGCTAAAGACATAATAAATACACACAGAATCAAAGAAGGGTTTTAAAGGAAAGGAAAGATCTGCACCCGGTCTTAGCTGCCTCCTAGGTTTGCCTCTGCTGTACAGTTCCTGTGTTACGATGATCAGCTAATGTGACTTTAATTAAATTCCATACATATATTAAGTATAAATTTATGTATGGTACACATAAATACATTTCCACCAAACCTCTTCAGTGTGAAGCATATGTCAAATTAATGAGTAGTTAATCAATTCCATCTTCTGTGTTCAATACGTAAGCTTACAATCTATCTATTTATTCTATGCCATCAAAATATTAGTAGCTGTCAGCTTTGATCAACTTCATAATCATTTTTTTCACCATGCTTATCACTACAGTACCTGAGGGATTCACAAAAATGAATCAACTAACCCTCTAGGTATTGCTTTACTGCAAGTGTATGAATGACTACACTTAATAGAAGGGAAACTGAAGTTAAAACTACAAAAAAAAAATATTTTATTATTATTATATGGTCTTCTGTTCAGAACAGATTCTATTCAACTTCAGTTCCAGCTATAATAATATACCTATAATTCTGAATCAACATCTTCTTTCAAACACTCCACAAAACTAGCACAAAAAGTGTGATGTAGGTGATGTGAGAAATTGTACACAAACTCTTTGGTAGAAGTAGAAATATAATCTAGTTCTCTAAAATAATTCATTTGTCCTCTTTGTGAGAATGCCCTTTCTTACTCTGAATTCTCTGCTTCATTGCTTTCATTACAAGAGACAAAGCTATGTCCTTAAGAAAGTTTCTTTTATTATACAACCCCAATTCATACTGGGGGTGTAATTCTGTCTTGGGCTTCCTTTGTGAATGAAATGAATATCTAAGGGAAAAAAATAAATAAACAAGAAAATCAAACGTGACTATTCATAACGACTCACAGAACTCCAAATTAAAACTATGTAGCTATTCTAATTCTGACATTTTTTAATGTTTAGTAATTCACTTAATGTCTTTTATGTTACTCACACATATCAGATTTTGGGTAGCAGAGTAAGGATTTTTTAATTTATTGTTGGGAGAACTGAAGAAGAAAGTCTGTTGTGTAGATGGTATATACTAAAGTAAGAACATGAAAATTGTCAGTAGCTTACTCTGGATAGCTGCTTAGGTTAAATATCCCCAAAATAGAAACCTAGATTGCAATATGGGATACATACACCTGATGAACTGATGTACAAAAGGGTGCCTCTCCCACACAGCCTTAAAAAAAGTTAATTAAAAAACTTGCCCAGTTGCATTTGTAACCAAACATCATGCTTGCATAATTACGTTTGCAAGTCTGAACAATCTGTTTTCATTTAACAGCAAAGTCCATTTTCTAAAGCTTTCCACTTCATTTCAAAAAACAATCTTAGGCTTAATAGTTTTTTGTTTTCTTGCTTATTTGCATTAGAAAGCATTGTCATTATGGAAAATCAGAAAATAAAAAGATTATAAATGGCTTTGAGCAGGGTTCTATGTATTCACATTGCAACATATTTTAGAATAGAATAGAACAGAATAATCTATTTCAGTTGGAAGGTACCTATAATGATCATCTTGTCCAGCTGCCTGATCAATTCAGGGCTTACCCAGTTAAAGCATGTTATTAATGGCATTGCCCAAATGCCTCTTAAACACTGACAGGCTTGTAGCATCAACCACCTCTCTAGGAAGCCTGTCTCAGTGTTTGACAACCTTCTTGGTAAAGAAATGCTTCCTGATGTCCAGTTCAAGCCTCCATTGGTGCAGCTTTAAACCACTCCCACACATCCAAACACTGATATCCCAGGAAGAAGCGCTCAGAACCTCCCCCTTCCCTTCCCCTCCTCAGGAAGTTGTAGAGAGCAATGAGGTTGCTCCTCAGCCTCCTTTTCTCCAAACTGGACAAGCCCCAAGTCCTTAGCCACTCCTCATAGGACTTTCCTTCCAGCTCTTTCACCAGCTTTGTTGCCCTCTTCTGGACACATTCAAGGACCTTCACATCCTTAAATTATGGGGCCCAGAACTGCACACAGTGCTCCAGGTGAGGCCACACTAATGCTGAATACAGCAGGATATTCACCTTTTTTGGCCGGCTGGTTATGCTGTGTTTGCAGCCCAGGATGGGGTTTGCCCTCTTGGCTGCAGGGGCTCACTGCTGGCTCGGACTGAGCCTGCTGTCACCAGCACCCCCAGATCCCTTTCTGCAGGGCTGCTCTCCAGCCACACCTCTCCCAGTTTATATTATGCCCAGTATTACTCCATCCTAGGTGCAGAATCCAGCATTTTGACTTGTTAAATTTCATCCCACTAATCATAGCCCAATGCACCAATCTACCTAGATCCCTCTACAAGGCCTCTTGTCTCTCAAGAGAGTCAACAACACCTCCTAGTTTGGTATCATCAGCAAACTTGCTAATGGTGCATTCAACTCCTGCAGCCAGATCACTGATAAATATATTGAACCGAACTGGCCCTAGAATTGAACCCCGAGGAACACTGCTGGTGACTGGTCACCAGCCAGATGTAGCCCCATTCACTACAGCCCTCCTGGTAAACAAAAAGAAGAAAGCATAACTATATATAAATTCAGTGCAAGAAATTGGTGAAGGAAGATAAAAGTATTTGAAAAATTTCCTCAAATCCGGTATCAACTCACTCAATTCCCTCTCCCCGACAAAGAACTCTCCACATATCTACTATATAAATGCGTTTTCATAAGTCAAAGATTTTTTAATGAGGAAAACCATAAATTCAAGAAAAAACATAAAAATAGTTCATTATTAGGTGCAATTAATTTCCCAACTGCTCCTTGACCTGAGATTACTTAGAGAAAAGCACGTTTCCTAAAGGGTTTGTCTACATCTTACTGCAATTTCCACTGACAAAATTATCTTCTGGAAACAAAGTTAAAATATTTTTTTGTAGGAATACGAATGAAAACATACACACTTGAATTGCAAACTGTAACAAAAGTCAAAAGAACAGGATCTTTAGAGCAGTGAAAACATCTTTGTTGAAAATAGATAGAAATAACATACATCTATGTTTCTTTTGTCTATAGAGAGTGTTGCTATCATGGTAGTCATGCAGTTTCCTCCCAGACTGTCTCTTAGCACTGAGGTCATCATAGAGTTTCGGTAAGGAATATGGGACCGGTTTTTCTCTGCAAGGGCAATTATTACCTGAAACAACAGTAAAAATTGAAAATACTTTTAAATTTACATGTCTATTAATGATTGACACACAAAAAGAACAAAACCAATCTGCTCAGGAACCTAAACTTCTGATACAACAAAACTACGCTTATGCAAACCCACTGGTTTTATTGAAATAATTTCAACTTAAATTTCAGCATGTTTATATGTCTGCAGGAGCTGGACCTGAAAGACCAAGTACATTTAATTTTATCATACCCTAGCTTTACAGCCTCACAGCAACATGGAAACTGAACACAATAAACTCAAACCTACACACTTTCCTAAGACAGAGGAACTTACTGAAAACCTTTCTTATATCTTTTCTCTCATAATAATAAAGTATGGATAGCAGTCAAGTAAAAACTTCCTTAATATTTGCTAAAGCATGCTTTTAAAATTACATATTCCTAAAGCATGTGGTTCATAGAGGGGTCAATACATTTATTTCCGAGAAAATGTCTTGAAAAGTAAAACACAAATAAAATGGTGCATGATTACAGTGAATGGCTGGAAAGAAATAATTCGGTTCAGAATATATATGTCTTGGCCAAAAAGGAAATGGTACACCTACTATTCTCAGTTTCCCTTCTTAGCTGTTTACATTATGGGACTCAATTATTATAAAATAAAAAGCTAGATTACCCCATGATTTGTTGTGATATAAAAGATTTGAATTGTTATCTGGCCAAGCAGTATACTGAAAAACTGTAGCTATATGAGTTGCACAAGCCATCCTAAATTATTAGGAGTTGGTTTTCCTTTAATAAATGTTATACACAAGCATATATTTTGTTTATTCTGCACTTAAGAAAATTGTTATTTCAGAAAATCTAGTAGGAACTTTTTTGTTGGCACTAGTTTCTCTTAACAGTCTTCAGAAAGTTAAAATGCCGTATTACTATAAATCTTACACTGGCAGTGCAGAGAAGGACAAATGCATAATATGAAAATTACTATCTTGTAAAGGAATCTGGAAACCCATTCCTGGATCAAGGTTTTCAAATCTCATATATCACAACTTGTTAGATGGAAATATATCTGATAGTTTATAATATTGCATAGAAACCTCATAGTAGTCTAGCGTATACATCAATAAACACCATCTCAGTCTCTGCCACACAGAGACTACAATCTGAATAGACAAGATTTGAAAAGAACCAGAGGGAAGGTATGTTATTTCCATTAAAAATGGTAACTCTGTTACAGAGAAATTCATTTTTTCTGAACTTCATGCAGGAAGTCTGTAGCCCAGGTAGAATTTGTACCTTCCTGTACTGGCCCTGAAAAGTTATGAGACCAGTTCTCACGTTGCAGAAGCCACTGTACTGTCACATGACAGCCATGTAACACAGAAAATAATGGTTTTAAGTCCCTTCAGTAAAACATCATTTAAATCACTAAATCAATCTTTTCAATCCAATCAAGGAATCTAGAATTGAAAGAGGAGAAATCTGAAGGAAAGTGAAATTTTGTTCTTTCACAAAGCAACAGAGACCACCAGTACAGGATCTGAACCCGCATCTTCTAACAGCCGACCAGATGTGATAAGAAGAAAATTGACTCATTTTTACATGGTCAAGAAGATGTTGTTATCTTTTTGATATAAAAAAAGGTTGGGGATTTGCCTTTTTTTTAATAAAAAATACTGGAAGGTCCAAGCTTGAAAAGCTTTAATAATATTACTGACACAGGACTGTAATATGCTGTAATGTAATGAAACACATTTGATTTTGAGTCAAACAAATCACTTTAAGACCTGACTAATTTTTTAAATATGGAAGCTGTCAGAAATATTGTGACTTTTTGTAATATTGTGTCCTATGTGAAACATAATAGCATAGAGCAGGTACAATCACTCACATATAACTTCACTGAAGCATGTGGAAATAGTTACGCATACAAGAAGGCCTGAGACACAGAAGTGGTTCTGATATGATCTGAAGTGTGCCCAAGAGTCCTTGTTACTGCCCACATCCTTTGTGCAAGCAGTAATTTCAAATAGGGAATAGATTTGCACCGGTAGCTCAAGCCAACTGGCAGGCCGCACATGTTCTCTGAGCACCCACAGGAGATGAGGATTTTGGGGGACATCACTTGTGGATACAGAGCTATCAGCTACATCTGTATCCTGCAGTGTGGTGTATCACATGCTCTGAGGCCATATGCCTGCTCCAGGGGTCTCTTTTTCTGACCTGTCCGTCTGCAGCCACAAGGTCTCTGACGTTGCCTTTGATCCATATCCAGAATCCTTCCAGATTCCTGTCCACACCTCCTCACTCCTAGGATTTCTGTCAACTAAGTCTCCCATCCCACCTCACATTTCTAGTAGAGTTCATCAGCCTAAGCTCTGCTCTTTACAGCAAAAAATCTAAACTCTACTGCTGGTGTCTTGTAAGTAATTACAAGAATCCTTACTTTTTGGACAACATATGTTTGTCTCCAGTATATACTACAGGTCTTGCTGGAAACAATTCACCCAAAAAATCACGATTTGCTAATCAGAAACAAATGCATGTATTTCACTTTAAATTATTCAAAAATTCCTGTTTTTTTCTGTTACTCTAATGTCTGTATATGTTAACTAGGAAACAGAAAAAAGAGAAATTTACCTTTTCTATTGGATGTGAATAAATCTAGCATTTGATGGCTGGCAGTGATTTCCAATTTTATTAGCAAAAACTTCAGCAGGTGTGAGAAGCAATCACTCACTAACCAACAAAATCTTTTGGCATTCCTGCATTCTTAACTATTCCTAACTGGAACACATTCTAAGTGACAGTTAACAGACATATTAATTAAATCGGTGGGAACATTGTATTCTATTATTTTTGGGAAATACATATAGTTTTAATTCCACTATAGTGTCAAATCATATGGCTGTATCACGGTTAATTTGTAACTCTAAATTTGGTCCAGAATACCCTATGCTGTGTACCAGAAGGGATTATCAAAACATACACACAAAGAAGAGGCAGTTGTAATTCCAGAACATGCTACTACACCTTACAGACAAGAAATGCTACCCAGATATGGTGGTAGGAACTTTTAAGAGCACCTATGCATCAAATTGCTGTGGACACTAAAATTGAACTGTCCCTACTGCCATTGTAGGTCAGCTGCATGACATTATCTCATCTTCATTTTGCTCTAGACATATAGGTCACTTGGAGAAAAAGTGCAGTTGATTTATTTTAAGATTTTTTAATATACTGTGGATATTTAACAAGTAGGCCAAGAGTGATAATACAGAACTGTGTTCCCATTGTCATCTTCACACAAATTGTTTTATATGACTATTTTATTACACAAGGTGTTTAGAAATGGAACAACTCAACACTAAAACACAAGTAGATAACTAAATAGTTGAGCATGTAAATAAGCTGATTTTGAGGAATCCTTGTACTTTAATATCAGTCACTACAAGGTCAGGATTGAATGGTCCAATTCCCACTGAACAAAAGGATATTTTTTACTGTTTTCAGTGGCGTTCTGTTCAGTATTAGGAAACATTTTTATTAATGATACGCAATCCCAGACAGAACCCAACGTGCCTATCTCCAGCTGTATTCATTCTAAAACAGGAGTTAAAAGTTTAATGACAAAACATTAATATTTTACTCTTCTACAGTACTTAAAACCTGTGTATCTCAAAACGCACTGCACAGATTATTAAATTTAACCTCACATAAGATCATGCAGTGTTGCATTATAAGTACATAGAAATCATACAGTAAATAAGAAGGATCCTGAGTACAGTTTATATGATTCTGAAGAGATACATTTTAGAATCACTTACGCTTATCACCTCCCGTGAGTAAAATTGAAATACTGGCATTTTTCTTCAAGGCAAAATTTAAACAAATGGGGGGTATGAAAAAAATTCAGTGTAATAGTAAATGACTGACTGCCACCTGCTGTGCCTTAAGCTTCTTCTTTTGACAGATGAAATATCTTTGATCATAGATTAAATGAAATCTAAGAGATTTCTTCTCGTTAACAGAAAAACACACAACACAAAAATGAAGAATATTCTTCCCAGAAAGTGGAACAAGCAGTTATATTTCCTAATCATAATTTTAAAGAATTTTCACATATAGACACCTAAAAAAAAAAAATTCTGTTTTAATGGATTTCCTCAACTGTAAATTTTCCTAAATAACACATATACTGGAGTATAAATTAAAAGGGACAAATCTGAATTTTAGAGGTACGCATTTTTTCTTCTTCCTCCCCCGCTTACTTCTCCCACTGGATGACATCCTCACAGACCTGCTATTGCATATAAAAATTTGTAAAGAAGCCTTAGGAAAAAAATACTGTATTCTCCAGCAGAATTCAAAAAAATAACAAATTTCTGGCAACAGGAACAGTGTTTACTGTACTGCTGAAATAATATCATGTATTCAAGCTTAGAAAGAACTTAATTTCTTTTCCAGGTGTGAGGTCTAAAATCCACACTTGAAAATCTTCAATGATTGCAACTTAATAGCACAGCATGCACAAAATAGATTTCATTGGTTGCCAAGTGTTTCTTACTCTTGTTCGGTGTATTACGGCATTAGAATACAAAACATCACAGCAGATCAGGGAGACATAAATGTAATGTGCACTAAGTTTTTATAAATAAGCATAAATGTCTTTTAGCAATGCCACAAATACTAAGCGGAAAAGAAATACCTGAAAGGAGGGAACGGTATGGAATACAGACAATGCCTATAAACCTGGTGGAAAGAAAAGAAGAGATACTAGAAAAGAAGATATTAGTAAGTGTGAACAGCCTTCACCATCACACTCACCACATTCACAAAAATTAAGAGAATCCTTAGATGTAACATCTTATTTTTCTGGTCATGAAAGGAAAATGATTATACCAAATCAGTGGAGGAAAAATAATTAAAAAACCCCCCAATAATAACAATTATTATTATTGTTAACACGTTAAAATAATATAATAATAAAAACACTTGTTAATAATAATTATAATGATCTGTTAACTAAACCTTTCTACTGGAATGCATCATCTTCAGAGTTCCTATTCATCACTGCTATCTTAACTCATTCTTTGTTTAAGAAAAAAATTAGTAACATTAAGCAGGATTAACCTAATCCCTCAATATTTGCCTTTTCCAAAGAGTAAAAATAAAAAGTAGCAGTGAAGCTAGGGTAGGGATTTTAGTATACTTTAAAACAAGAGTCTAAACCTTTTTCAGTAACAACAGCTGAATGATAAAGATCTGTGGAGATTTATTATTACTACTGCAGTTGCATCTATGACTCGTATTGGTATAAAACAAATTATGGTAGTTAGTCCATAAATACATTAACAAAGGTAACTCCTGTCTCAAAGAGATCAAAGATTCACACTGGTAGAGGAATAAAACAACATATGAGAGAAGAGCCTAATATTCTACTATATTACAATGCTTGAATCAAACAAAAACAATCACTTTAGTTCAGTTATTCTTAGTGATACATCCTGATCCCAGCTGTGGAAGGGGGAAACGATCACAAAGAACATTTTTAGCAGAAATATAGCTGCAGTCTTGTAAATATCATCAGTATTCCAAACAAAATAATAAAACTATTTTTGAAATACTACCCTGTATACCTACTATAATCTTCCTGTTTAATTGTTAAGCTTTTCCTGAATTAAAATATGTTATCTCAAATGAAGAGTTATCAACTCAAACCCTTAAAAAACTTGAATAAATATCCTAAAATTAACTGAATATAGGAATCAAGATTTCCAAAACACTGCACATTGCTAAACAGGAATGTAGTAAAGGGAGAAATGTTTCACTCTGTTCCAATTTTACCTGTTCCAAATAATGTAATGACAGGTTGATATATTTGGCTTCTGTCAATAAGTGACCTCCAACTCCAGTCTTTGCAACACGCTCTGATCCAGCAAGGTCTACTAAGTGTAACTTGGAGCGTCGGATGGTTGCAGATCCAGGTTCCTTGCTGGAGATGTGAATGGTGAAAATGCAGTGAGATCGAGTTGAGGCTTCATTCATTGGTGTCTGCAATGAAAAGAAAGGAAGAGTTCTCAATGTTCATTTAATAAATACATTTAGCTTTATATAGCTCAATAATCTGGCAATTGAAATCACCTACCCATTTTTTTTGCTATTAAATCTGTAATAAATATGCAAGAAGAACCCAAAAGGATTTACCTGGCACTCATGTTCTGGCCAAATACTTGGATAACTTTGATCTGGACAAACTGTACTGCAAGCAACCTAGCAGCTATCCTTGTTCCAAGATAATCTAACTGTGAGGAATACTGGAAAAGGGCACCTTGATTGGAAGGAAGGTTACTCATTCCTGATCTCCAAGAACTTAGCAGTTTCCCCACTGGTAAGCCCTTTTTTATTCTTTTTTTTTTTTTTTTTTTTTTTTTTTTTTTTTTGGCTAGAGAGCTACCAGTATAACCAAGACTAGGACTTTCTACAAGGATTTAGACTTTCATATTTTCCTTACTTTGGCAAAACCAGTATCAGAATTTTATGTGGCATGGCAGTTTTCATAAAAGGTTTGGCTTTAAATATATTTATTTGGAATAGCTACTGCCATACTTAACAAGACACATAGAAATTCTTGGTCAATTTTTAGAGACGCCCAGCTTCAATATGACTTTAGTGGTGTTCCCAATATATTTGAAATGCAGAACAGAAAATTTTAAACGGTTCTCAGGTATTTAATTTTAGATTTCAAATGACCACATGCCACCACACATGCCCCTTTTCTTTCTTAAACAACATATAAAAAAACCTTTAAGCATCTAAAGCCTCTTTTGTTTAATTATATCAAGCTGTTGTTGGAAACTTCAAACTAAAATAATTCCTTATTATCCTTATTTTATAAATAGCTGAAGCTTTAGAATATATATGGAAATTATAGGTTTATTGTACAAAGAGTATTTTTATTTATAAACTATAACAAGTATGACCACATTGTTATCAAGACATAAATACTTGCAGAAAAATGGGGTAGTAATATAAATTAATAAATAAATATTATTGAGTTAGCAACTAAATCTATACTTACTTATAGTTGTTTAAAAAGATGATAAAAAAAATACTGGTTAAACTGTATACATTAATCTCTTGTCTATACTTTATTCCTCTGTTATGCTAGAGTAATTATTTATCTAGGCATACCTTGTGACTCACATCAGTTATACCAACATATTGGGTTTTTTTCCTGAGTCTGCTTTGGTATGAAACATTTTAGATATTAAAATAGCCTGTCCACTGCAGGTGTTGAAGGTGTTGTCTTGTAAATAAAGAAAGCACAGCTCTTAAAAGAAAGACTGCAAGTTGTATGTTCCTTTACCAGGAACACTATGAGCAGCTATACCTCTTGGGTGAATTGTCTCCCCTTCAATTTCCCAATATTTTTTCCAGTCTTAATAGTGCCAGAACAACTGAACTATTTTTGGGAACTGATCCAGCTCAAAGGAAAAAAAAAAAAAAAAGTCTGCAAACCATAGATATTTAACCTGGATCTGTTTCCCAATTCAGTCACAGCACAGCTGTAGAAAGCAGTTCTGCTAGAATAATTGAAAATGGCAGCATGTGAGCACATAGGTGGCATGCAGAAATATCACACACTTGTAGGTTGTGAAAATTCTGTAATGAAATTACAGCTTTAGCACTATTTTATTTTGGGCTGCTTTACTTAATAAAGCCAAGCTCAGTGAGAGGGACAAGAGTTTTGATCATAAGTTTATATAGATGAGGAACTTTAGAATAATATAGGCAAGCCACTGGCTCTGCTCAGCAGCCTGGTTTCTAAGGATCATTCCACAATCCTGTGAAATGAGCATCAGAGCATGAGTGCAGTCACATGCTATGCTGTCTTCAGATGCGAAGCTGAAGAAGTGAAGGGTCAGAGAGTTGTAGCACGGGAATGAAAATAAACAGGATCAGGGAAAGGTGTCAAGCTAAAAAATACTCCCAGACATATTTAAAATGCAGTTATACTAAGAAAAAGTTATATGCTGTTAAAATGTACTTTATTCAGCAATTCTGATTCCATGAATAATCAGAGCCAGCTTCACTTATTTTATTAGGAGAACCATAATTTTACTACTTGCAGCTCTAGGAAGCAGGTCTGAATATTTTATTTTTTCCAGCTCAGAAGCTACAACAGAATTAATATTTAAGGACATTCTCCTCAACAGAATTGATATTTGAGGACATTTTGAACTACAGTCATGTCATCGGTCACACTATACTGCAGACAAGTTTAAGCCAGATCGAATATCAGTACAGGTCTAGCAACGGAAGCACAAAGTAAAGGTTGCTATGAAAGAAGCAGAATAAATCTTCATACTTTAGAATAAGCATCCTTAAGCAAACTTAAGTTTCACTATGCAGCAAAACCTTATGTATTTCAAAATGTACTTTTAGTCACACCTGTTTAACCCCAACAGAGCCAGAAAAAACCCAAAAAATAAAGCACAAAAGAAAATAATTTCAGGACTCTGAGTTCCAAAAGCTCAGGCCAATATTTGGCCTATTAGGTCTTTACTATCCATAGCAATATGCTAGCCACAATTGGTTTTGCATGTTCCAAGCAGATTCTGCTGGACCGGTCTTTAGAAATTCTATTGCTTTTCTGTCCACAACATCTTTTTTCATGTAAAATGAGTGAAGCTGATTTGGAAGTAACTGGCTACAATCCCAAACTGCTATTTTTATAAAGTCCTTCTTCAGAGTAGAGCCATGCATTAATCAATACACCAATATGCCTTTTTACAATATGATTCTATCTCCACTTCGCAGTTCCCATATATAGGAAGCTCTATTAGAACTCTTTCAGGAAGCATAAAGCAATAAAAATTTAAACTCTTAAATGGGATGTGATCGTGAAATGTTAATTGCAGTCATAATCCCACACACTTTGCTACTTTTACCACACAAGTAGATGCAAAGCACACAGCAACAGAAATGACAACTTGTCAGCATCTTCAGTCCAAACGTGAGCCTTTTTGTGTTTGTTTGTTTGTTTGTTTGTTTTTTACCTTACATATGCAACTTCTGAGTATCAACATTCAGCTGTTCAGAAAGTTTGAAAACTGAAAACAAACAAAATTTTCTGGACAGTGTCTCAGAGCCTACTAAAAGGCTCCTTTAGTGGCTTTCAGAGTTCATTTTGGCTTTGTTAGCAGTATTCAAACCATATGTATATGAAATCATCCTCACGCTAATTTGATGAGAGGAAGGAAAAAAAAAAAAGAGGGGAGTGGCCTGGCTCTCTGCAGATGGTTGCTATTGTGAAAGTTATATATAGAACAACTGATGAGCTGCAGTTACTTACAAAGAAATAATTTTTTCCAGGAATTCTGTGACATCATAAACCACATAAGCAGACTTCAGATGCTTTGTGATATCACATGAACACTACAAAGGAATTAATGCCAGGTCATCTTTTGCTGCCCATTTGTGACATGGTAAAAGAGGAATTCAATAACATTTCTTTCAAGATCATGATTCAGTAAAGCACCAGTGTTTTGTTTGATCTTGGAAAATATGTACAAGAAATTTCAAGCCAAACAACCTAGTCTCCTTCTTCCCCAGGACCAGGATATATCTGCGTTTGCTGAAAACAAATAAACTGTATAGAAACTTTGTGACTTAAACCATTACATCTATTCAGACAAGAAGGTGGTTTCTACTTAAATGACAACCAGCAGCACAACCATATTGAAAGAAGCATCCGAGTCAGATACTTCTGTCAAGAAATACAAGGTCATGAAAGGTCCAAAAACTTGCTGGAGACTAAGTGATCTATCTTAATGTAATTGTTACCTATCTTAAATCAACAAAACACTGCAGGACTTCCTCCCTGTGCAAGAATTTATGTATATCTCAAATCCTAAATTTGAAGCTGCTATTATAAATGTTGTCTTCACTAAGAAGAATAGCCAGAAATAGGATGCTACTGGTCTAAATAGAGTTCTTAATAATTGAGGGCCTAAGAAGGAGAAAGTTTCTAAAATAGGAGAAAAACATATGAAAAGCTGTTTTAAAATCACCATTAGACTAATAGAAGCTGCTACTATCTGGAAAAATAACATGTTGATTATGGATGCCAAATACACTCAGACAAAGACAACACAGAAAAGAGTTCAGGACAGCTGGGACAAAAAGATTTCACAGGTAATAAATGCAGTCATTCAGCCTACATTGCAAACCATCTCCACTTGGCAGTTTACACAGTTCCAGTGGAATCTTTTCATTGAATCAAAATATTTAGACATCAGAAGAACATGATTTTCCTCTATGAGTGAATTAGTGACTAGCCAAGACATAAATGAAGAACGGCTGATTCTGAATGCTCCCATTTTTTTTGAGAGAATGTGTCAGTGAAAAGTTACAAAATTTTTTTTAAAGGAGGTTTTCTTTTTCTTCTTAAGCTTTTTTCACTTTTGAACTTCTTGAAGAAGGGCAAGGGAAAAGAGAAAAGCACTGATAGCATCCAAGGCTGATATCAAATTGATTTTCTCCAATCTCAAGCTACAATCAGATCGATACCTGTAGGAAGAAGTTATGAGAACTTCAGTCATTTCACATTTCAGATGGTAAGAAAAGAGCCATTGTGTCCTACAAGAATGATAATACAGCAATATAACTCTGTTTCTCTGGTTGAAACTCATCCTTAGAATATTCTGGTGTTTTCATATTGCTGGTTTATAGCACAGAACATCGTAAGCCTCTGTAAGGCTGAAGGAACAGAGATTCTTTGTTGAGAAACAGTGGATATATCTGTCTAATTAATATAAACTCCATCAGTTCCAACAGAACCATGCTATATGGAACGTATGCAAGTTGAAGAACAGGCGGTTCTTGCTTTTATATCTGGTGGATGAGGGAGACCTTGATATATCTTTAGTTTTCTTTCTGATTAATATGGTACAAGTAAGGGGGATCTTCAGGTGTACTTCGGTACACTCAATACAGTTGAAATTGCAAATTTATTTCAGTAAAAATATAAGGATCAGAGCAGTTGCAAT